TAAATACACACACACACACACACACACACACACACACACACACACACACGCCTCTACCCACACTAAGCTAACTACATTTTCTTCCTTTTACAGTTGTCCTGGCTAGAACCTCCTCTCCAGTATTAATACAATTGATATAACTGAGTGTATAGGCCCGTCTTGTTCCTTATTTTTGGATGAAAGTTATCAGTGTTCACCACTAATATATTAATGTGGCATTTCTTTTTTTAATATTAATTTATTTATTATGTATACAGCGTTCTGCCTGTATGTATGCTTGCAGGCCAGAAGAGGGCACCATATCTCATTGTTTCTACATTGTGAGCCACAATGTGGTTGCTGGGAATTGAACTCAGAACCTTTGGAAGAGCAGCCAGTGCTCTTAAACTCTGAGCCATCTCTCCAGCCCCTAATATATTAAATGTGGGATTTTCATAGATACTGTTATCAATAAGGTTGAAAAAGTTCCTAATTTTTATTCCTAGTTTGCTGAATATTTTTACTACCAAAAAAAGATTGAATCTTGCCAAAGGTTTTATTTTTTTCCTCAAAAATTTTTTCTTCATCCAGTGAAATGAATGGGCCTTTTTCTTTCTTCTGTTAATATGATGTAATATAGAGACTGATTTTTACATGTTAAAGAAATTCTGTATGCTTGGGATAAATCCCATTAGTTACTGTGTATATAATTACTGTGAAATTGTTAATCCCAAAGATGGGAGGAGAAATACCACTGACCTAAGTCATCATGGCCAAATTAATTAAAGCAAGCAATTAATTAAAGTGAATTTTTTGCATTAATTAATAAGATAATGATTATAAAACAATAAAATAAATCTTGTATTCATGTACTAGGCTTCCTCCCCCTAAGGTGGGATTCAAGAGGTCAGCATTGGACATGAGGAAGCCAAGGTTTTATAGCTCCGGGGTAGGTGGTTTCCAATTGGTGATTTTGGTAGGCAAAGTAGGATCTAAAGGAGCAGAACATAAGCTCGAGGTAGTTATAAGGAGCTCCTAAAACAAAGACAAAACTGCAAAGTGGTTGAAGCAAGGTAGTCATAATAACAGGTGGTCATAAAAACCTTTTGAAACACATGATTGCCCTTTTCTGGAACAGGCAGTCCAGAAGCATTGTAGCTAAGGTTACAGGTGGGGCAGAGCCCAGTCCTTGAGAAACAGAGATTTAATCATGAAAAGGAATGCACCTAGTTTGTCTTTACTGTGAGATGGCCTTAAGCCTAAAATGGAGGCAGGCTGGTTCATCAAAATAATACTTATGCTTAGTATTTTGGGATCCTGTTGAGAGACTAGGAGTTAGACCCCCTGGCAGGCAGGCAGATAGGGAGAGGGGCCATTGCTAAGTAATAAAGGTGGCGAACTTCCAAGATGGCCAGCTTCTTTCTCATCCTCTTGACTTGGGACAAAAGCCTAACAGCTTAAAACAAAGGCTTGCAGGCCCTCTGCTGATGGACTGGCGCAACAAGTTCATGGCTTGCTCAGGACATCCACACATCAGTTCTGAGACAATCAACCATCCTAGCTTTCCTCAAACTGACCAACTCTAAGTTAGGGAGGCAGCTCCCCAGAGGCTCCCACCTCCATACCCACACAGAACACAGTTTTCAGCTTCCTGAATCCTTCCTCTGCTTTACAGGGATCTTTTTTCTCTCTGGGCCCGCTGTAGGTCTGTGTTTCCTCACCCTCAATACATGTCTTTCCTCAACTGCTGATTCTGTCAGTGGTGTTTAGATCTCTCTGTTGCATGTTAGCTGTTGCACTTCAGATCTTTCCTGCCTTTTAATTCCTTAACTGGCAGGAAAAAAAAATGAACCCAATCAAGGCCCCTAGACTATATCACTTCAAGACCCTTAGACTGACTGTGCTATTTCCCTTTTTAAAAATTCTTTTTCAGGGCCAGGGCAGTGGTGGCGCACGCCTTTAATCCCTGGACTTAGGAGGCAGGGCCAGGCGGATCTCTGTGAGTTTGAGGCCAGCCTGGTCTACCAGTGAGTTCCAGGACAGGCTCCAAAACTACACAGAGAAACCCTGTCTCAGGGAAAAAAAAAATTCTTTTTCATTTTTAGCATAATTTTGATCTTGATGCACTAAATTGATTATAAAAACACACCAATGAGTCACGAATCACAGTTTGACACTACTGCTATCAGCTGGTGGTATATTAAAAATATTTAAGAATGAGACAGGATCAACAGACTACATAAAAATGGAAGTGGTGGGCTGGGATAAGTTCCTTTTGTGTCTGCATTAAATATCCTATTGCTAGAATTTGTTGGAAAGGCACTGGGCCAAACAGTACAGCGGAGGGCAGAAGTCCGCTGAGGAGGCTCAGGGCAGGCTCCTCTCCAACTAACATGTAAGCAGTGTGTTAGCAACTTTGTGGTCCACACCAGTGAATATCAGTCTTTGTTGTTTAGCACACCAAATGGCAACTAGCACTCTGGAGGCTGAAGCAGGCAGAGCTGTGTATGCTCCAGGCAAGCTAGAGTCAGAGAGATAGTGAGATCTGTCACAAACAAACAAACAAACGAAGTGGTTGATATTTGGGCTGGGGAAATGGCTCAGAGGTTAAGAGTACATAAAAGGGTGGTGGTGGCACACACCTTTGATTCCAGCATTCAGGAGGCACAGGCAGGTGGATCTCTGTGAGTTTTGAGGCCAGTCTGGTCTACAAAGTGAGTTCCAGGACAGCTAGCGCCGTTACACAGAGAAACCTTGTCTCAAAACAAAAACAAAAACAAAAACAAAAATACTACTTTTGCAGGAGACCCAAGTTTGGTTTCCAGCAACCAAATCAGGTGGCTTATAACTATAACTTTAGCTCCAAGGGGGCTCTGATGCCTCTGAGCTCTACAGGCACTCCCACAGGTGCCCACCCATGTGGACACACACATAATTTAAAAATCAAAATAAAGCTGCTGCTGGTGGCGCACAGCCTTTAATTCCAGCACGTGGGAGGCAGGCAGATCTCTGTGAGTTGGAGGCCAGCCTGGGCTACAGAGTGAGTTCCAGGAAAGGCTCCAAAGCTACACAGAGAAACCCTGTCTAAAAAAAAAAAAAAAATTTAAATAAATCTTTAAAAAGGTGAGGGCATGATAGCAAACACTTGCAACCTTAGTACTTCTGAGGTGGAGGCAGGGGATAAGCTCAAGTGACCCTCAGTTCCATAGTAAGTTTAAAGCTAGTTTGGGCTGCAGGATTACAGGCATGAGCCTCTGCCTGGATTGGAATTGAATTTTGTGTTTGTCTTCTTTCATTCAATATATTTTTGACATTCATCCGCATTGTAGCATTGTTGACAATATATTCCAGTATTTGTGGTAGTTTACTTCAGGAATATATCATAATTTACAAATCTTTCTGTTAGATATTTTGCTGTTTTTAATAAACATTAATATAAAGTTTAAGCAAAACTCAACTGAGTGCAAGTTAGTGCTTAGCAATAAATTTATTACAGGTTTAATAATAGCTGCAATTTTATCCTTACATCCCATTCTGATATATAAATCTCAGCTATTTAAATTAACAAAATGAGATTAAACTTGCTTTTACATTTATATTTTCACTTTTTTGAGATGGGACAGGGGCTTGACATGCAGCTCAGGCTGGTCTGAAATTCATTCTATACGCACTCTGGCCTCAAACTCAAGATCCTCCTGCCTCCATCTCTCTAGTGCTGGGCTGAGTGCTAACGAGGTGCAACTGGTATTAAATTAAAAACTGGTAACACACAATTTGTCTTAATCCAGAAAAGCAATGTAATGGTTAATACTATTGTGGGAGAAACCCTGCTTCGAAAAACAAAACAAAACACACACTGAAAGTTGAAGGCATGGTGGCTGAACCCTGTGATCCCAGCATGGTGGAACACACCTCTAACTCCAGCCCTTGGGAGGTGGGGAGGAGGACCCCAAGGAGCCCCGTATACGCTCACATCCACAGTCAGAGAAGCCAAGATTCACGGTAGCCTGCCTGAAAAACAAACAGCTGAAAGTCAAGATAGAAACCTGATAAGGTTTATATAACATGTAATACAGTTTCCTGTTTCCTTTGAAGTTCCTTTTCATAGAAATTCTTTCGCAAAGGTATAATTTTGGCTTTTAGTTAAATTAACAACTATACAAAGGATTTTAGATTTTTGTTGCTATTAGAAAATGGTAAATTTTTTTTTAATTTTTAAAAAAGAAAATGGTTGATAAACAAACATGTATTCTGGGTCAGATTTCCTGTCAACGTTTTTTATTTTCTGTGTATGTGTGGATGCATGTGTGCCATAACATGCTTGTGGAGGTCAGTGAACACATGCAAGAGTCAGTTCTCCTCTTCTACCATGTGGGCTCCAGGGATCAAATCCAGGGCATCAGGTCTTTAACCACTGACCCATCTCACTGGCCTCTGGGTCAGATTTTCTTCAGCTGGGTCCCCAGGTTCTCCCCTTCTCTACCCTTATGCCCCCATTTTGCAGTTTGAGACTTCTTAGTTTGATATTCCCAACTTCATTGGTTGCCTAAAGTCCATATTTTCCCACTTATTAAAACTTCATTTCCCATAATAATCCACACAGCCACATTCTCATTCTCTCTCTCTCTTTTTATTTCATGTACATTGGTGTTTTGCCATGGGTGTTGGGTCTCAGAAACTGGAGTTATAGACAGTTGTGAGCTGCCATGTGGGTGCTGGGAATTGAACCAAGGTCCTCTGAAAGAGCAGTCAATGCTCTTAACCACTAAGCCATCTCTCTGGCCCCACATTCTCTTTTAATAACTAATTGTTTTATGAGTATTTGTGTGTGCCTGGGTGTATGTACAGCTCATTACCTGTATGTAAATGTTCTCAGAGGCCAGAAAAGGGCGTCGATCCCTGAGAACTGCAGGTGGTTGTGAGCTGCTAGATACAGGTGCTGAGAGCCAAACCTGGGTCCTGGAATCTCAGCGAGGTCCTTTGGGAAGAGCGTTCTTAGCTTCAAGCCAACTTCAGCTGTACTCCCTTTTCCCCTATGGAGATAGTTTCACTGCGTAGTCCTGGCTGGCCTGAAACTCAGACACCTGCCTGCTTCTGCCTTCTGGTGCTAGGATGAAAGAAAGGCCTGTGCCACCACCTCCTGTCACAACCATGTTTTCTTGAAGACTTCAAACAAACAAACAAAAACCCAGAAAACCTTATTGTAGTAAAGCATGCATAACATAAAGAGAACCATTTAAATAGTTTTCAGTAGTAGCATTAAGCATATTGTTGTTTATAATTTCTCTCGCTCTCTTTTTTTCAAGACAGGGTTTCTCTGTGTAGCCATTGCTGTCCTGGAACTTGCTCTGTAGACTAGGCTGGCTTTGAACTCAGAGATTTGCCTTCCTCTGCCTCCCAGGTGCTAAGATTTAAGGCATGCGCTACCACCACCTGGCTTCTGCCC